CCCCAAAACCCCAAAACCCCAAAACCCCATATGGCGAAGAAATATTAAAGAATTCTTAATTGCACTTTCTATTTAAAACTTGCCTTGTAAGTAATGGAGACCTCCTTTCTCATTGATCAGCATAAGCAAAGTTCCTATAAGGAATAGAGATAGAACGAATCCGATCTTTCTATAGAGACTAGCACTACTAGCTTGCTGATTTCTCTCAATAATAATCTTCTTAATAGCCTTGGTCTTCTCAATTTGGACTAATCTGAGAGCTTTTGCTTTGTCCTTTCTTAGCTTTGAGAGCTCAAGCTGATGATCCTTAGACTTGTTCGCTTGAATTCCATCTATATTGGTATTTAATGAGGTGAAATATCTAAATTAGGTTCATTAGATTAGCTATTTCTAGATAAAACAGAAATTTTATAGCTTCAGGCTCCAAACTCTTATTCAGCAGAAGAGAAGAACTCTTCTTCAGGAGATTAGGGTAAAACTTACTGAACTGTTGCCTTGCTGCCATCAGTTTATTCTCAACTACTAATATCTGATTCTCTAAAGCAGTTTTCATGTATTGGCACGATTTCTCAGCTGAATCTCTTTCTTGAACTAATTTCTCTACATCTTTGAGAGCTTTAGAATGAGAAGTAGCCAAGGTTTTGTATTTTTCTTCAGATTTCTTGCACTTGTCTTCACAATGATCCTCTCATAAATTCTGCTGTTTCAAAAATTCAGCGATCTGCTGATGAGCATTTTTAAGTTTCCTTTGGGCTTCTGACAATTTGTGACTAAGTTCTTCAATAGCCTTGTTATGGGATTGCTCAGAGATGCTATGCTTCAAATTCACCTCATCAATCTCCTCTTTAAGCAGATCCATTAATCTGTGAGTCTCTTGTTGTAACTCTTTCTCCTTAGCAATCAACTCTATCTTTACTTTGTTCAGTTCCTCCTGGGTGTTCTGTAACTCATTGTTTGCAAAATGTAGCTGTTCATTTTCCAAATCTAGTTTCGTCTGAATTGCAGAATGTTTCTCAAGAGTCTCTCTGAATAGCAAGTTGTATTTTTCTTCCTCTTGAGCAGCCTTGGCTTCTTGCTCCTTGAGCTCTGTTTTAAGATTGACCCTTTCTTGTGTGAGACTCCTAATTTGATTATCTTTATCCTCCTTGAGCTTGTGAGCTTGCTCTTGAAGTTGATAGGTTTTGTCAGTTTCCTCTTTAAATTTCCTTTGCAACTCCTGTAACTGTGCTTTTAGGGATGAAATGTAAGTTTCCTTCTGTTCAATTTTGATGTTCAAATCTCTCTGTTTTTGAGAATTTTCTTCATGGTGCTGCATAAGGACTTCTTGTTGGGCAGAAAGCTCTTTTTGCAATTCTACTTTCTTCAATTCTAATGCTTCTTTTTGAGTTGTGAGAGCAGTGATTTGGTCTTTTAGATCTACCTGTACAAAGAGTTTATTTAATTTGCTAGCTGATCATTATAATCCCAACTACAACCTCACTATTTAAAAATTGTAAAAATTACTCACCTCTTGGCTCTCAAAGTTCTGCTTCTCACTATCCCAACCTTTCACCATCTTCTTCTTCTCTTCCCTCCACTGATCTTCCTTGCTCCTAATTTCTCTAACAATCCCATCCATCTTCTCCTTCTCTTCCCAAGCAGCATCTGATTTTTCTATTTCTTCGGCGTGGTCAACTGCATTGTTTAAAATTTCTCCAATGTAATCTTCAAGGAATTGAGGAGTTGTGGTGCTTGAACTAGGAGATATCTCATGTTGGGCTTTAGTATCAGGGGAAATTCTGTCTTCTAGCTGAGTTTTAGATTCTGAAGCAAAGTTTTTAGTAGGAGTAATCTGAGGAGAATCATTGGCGACTTTTTTATGAGCTTCTTGTGCGTTGTCTTTGACTACCTCATCCTTTTGATTCGAATCTTGTTCCTTTTGAAGTTTCATTTGAGGCTCTTCTTTCATCTTGTCAGAGACTTTATCATTCACCACTAACTCCCAGCTTTGATCAGAATCTTTTGAACCAGATACCTTTAGGGTATTTTGACAATCATGAGGGAGAGACTTTGTAAAATACTTTTCTTTCATTGACTTCTCATTGGTAATGTCCTTTGCAATTTTAGTTTCATGACTGTCTTGGCTATTGTTGTCATAATCTTCATTCTTAATGCTTTTATCTTCTTCATGTTTTCAAGCTTGAACATCTTTCTGTTCTTCAGCATCCTTTTGATCCTCTTGCTCAGTATAAGTCTTTTGTTTGAGGCTAGCTGGATCATGTTCTACTGGTTTAGAGGAAGGATCCCTGATCTGATCAGAAGAAGAGCTATTTGGCTTTGGGACAGATTCAGATATTAGATTATCACCACCTCCCTCACTCTGGACCCTCTCTTCCTCACATTCTTCATTATGCTTCAAAATCTCTTCCATCACAGCCTCATCCTTCTTGGCCAATTCTCTTCCTTCTTCAGTAGGCTTAGTCTCTTCGGCTTCTTTGGAGCTGTCCAGCTCTTCTTTGGGAGCGAGGTTTTGGGGCTGAGAGGGGGTGTCAGGGTGAGGTTTAGTGGGAAGGGGAGGGCTGGAATGGGGCATGGAGGGTGGAGGGGGTTGGGAGGGAGGTGAGGTTTGGGGGTGGGAAGGGGCTTGGTGGTGGGAAGGGGTGGCTGGAGAAGGGGGATTGTGGATAGAGGGGTTAGTATTTTTGGGCTCATCTTGGAGAATCTCTTCTTTTGTGTTTTCAGAGGTCTGAATTTCGTTCTCCTCTTTCTTTCCTACTCACTTAGTATCTTCAATCTGCTTCACCTCTTCTATCTCCTCTATTTCCTCTCCCTCTTTCTCTCAATCATTCTCTCCTATCTCCTTTCTCTCTATCTCCTTCTCCTCACCATCTCCATTCTTCTTAACTTCTTCTTCCTTCTCACTAGGGCTTTGTTCGTGATTTTGAGAGAGGTCACACTGAAGGTCAGGCACTGAAGGATCTTGTGTAGAGGGTGGGTGGTGGGCTGAGGATTGCGGTCAAGAGAGATTTTGAGGAGGAGTCGAGGAATTTGATGGAAGAGAGGGTTTTGAAGGGTTTTGAGGAGAGGTAGATGTTTTGGGAGGGTTAGGAGCAAGGTGAGGCAATTCCTGCAAATTTTCAGTAGAATTAGGAATTTTAGATTTTTGACAAATCTCATGGGTTTCTTTAGTGTTCTTCTCATAGATCTCTTCCTTAACTTCCTTCATTTCGGTATCAGAACTTTTCTTTCCATTCTCACAGATACCTTCTCTCACCTCACTCTTATCAATAACAACAAAATCAATCTCTTCATTTCCTTCTAATTCTTCCTTCCCAGATACTCCCTCATTCTCCTCTAATCTCTTCTCAAAAGGACCATCTCCATCAATCTGATTCCCCACTTTCCTCTCTTCCCATTCCTCCCTACCATCCTCAATCTCACATCTCCCATCCATACTAGTACGGGCTTCAGGTTTAACAGAATCTCCAGTAGGAATCGGGTTGAGGGAGGCTTCTGAAAGTATATTGCTGGTTGAAACATGTAAGGGAGAGGTCTTGCGAGGTGAAGGAGACTTATCTTGGATGGGATGGTTGGGATCATGGAGGTTTTTGTTTGAATGAGAGTGATCGTTTTCTGTAAGATCCTCTTGCTTAAGATTAGTTTCTTCTAAGTTCTTTTCTTTTAGATCTTCTTCCTTTGATTCTGAAGACTGGATTTCCCTGAATTTAGAATCTTCTTCAATAATCTTATTCTCTTCATCCCTATCTTTCTCCTCACCTTCCTTCTCAACTCGGTCTAAACCTTCCAAAGCATCACTTCCATCCTCTTTCTTTACTTCTACTTCAACTCCTTTACCTTCCTCCTCTCCTTCTTCTTCACCCTTCCCCTCACTCACTCCCTCACAATCCTTACTTCCTCCCTCTCTCTCCTGTCCACCTTCAAACCCTATAGTGATTGAAGGATTTTCAGAGATCTTTGATTTTTCAGTAGAAGTATCTTTTGGGTTTGGGATGATCTTATGAGGTTCTTTATCTGGCTTCTGAGGATCCGCTTTCTTAGATTTTGAAGATTCCTCTTTATCAAGTTCATGAGAATTTTTGTTAGCCTCATTATTCTGTGAGTACTTCGCTTCAATGTGCTCTTCATTTTGTTGAGGACTCTCTTTCTCTTCTACTTTTGCTTCATCTTTAATTCCTTGCTTATCTGAATCAATATTTGCTAACTCTTCATCACCAAGATTTCTATTAGAAGTATCTTCTTCAGGTCTTATATCCTTCACCTCCTCTTCTTTCTCTCTTTTACAACACTTATCTTTGCCATCAAGTCCAGAGTTGACCCCCTTCCAAATGATCGAACCTCCAAAATTACCATTTAAACAATTTCTACACCTCAAAACCCTTCCTCCATCACCTACCATCAAACTCCGATCTGCACCTCCATATCCTTCTACCCCCTCTCACTGTCAGCCCATTCCAACCCCAATAGCCTGGTCTTGTTCCTGAGCTCTCTCCTCCTGAGTGATGCCAGCTGGAGTTTCTTCAGGAAGAGCAGCACAGGCAGGAGGGTGAGTGGGGCTGGCTTCTTGGGAGGGTTGGGTAGGGGCGTGAGCTTGGGGAGGAGTGTGTAGGTGGTCTGGGTTAGTGTCTTTTGTGGGTGGTTGGCTTTCCGCGGAATTATTTGTTGGGTCTTTATTGGGTGAGGGTTTAGGAGGAGGGGTTTTGGAGAGGTCAGCAGCTTTGTCTTCCTCTTGGTTCTCTTTTAAGCAAGGGTCATCTTTGGACTCAGGTATTGAGTTACAGGTGTAAACTCATCAGAGGCTGGGTTCAGTCTGAAAGAGATGTGCCGCTTTAGAGGAATCAGAATTGAACTGGCACTTAGGGTCTTTAGGATGAACTGAGTCCGAGGGAGTGGCTTTGGGAGAATGGGGAAGAGCAAGGGGACTGGAGGAGGGAGGGGTGCTTGGAGGGGTGCAGTCCTTTGGGGGTGGGTTGGGGGGATTGGGAGTTTGGGAGGGTTCTTGTGGAGGGAGTTTGGGATTTTGGTTTTCAGTAAGAGGAGTTTTGATGATGTTGTAATCGTTTATTTTAGTGAGATCTGGTTCGTCTATAATAGATTCGTCCTTTTTGTCCTCCAGAGATGATTTGGGGTTAGAGTTCTCTTCTTTCTCCTTCTTCATTAGGCTAGTATCTCATTCACTATGAATCATCTTAGCTTCTTCATTGCTACTAATAATTTTCTTTGTATCTTTCTGAAAAATTTCTTCTTGCTTATCGCTACTTTCTATTTGTTCAAATTTCTTCTCTTCTTCTTTAGTCTCTTTAGTTTCCTTCTGTTGCTCATCATGACCTTCCTCAAAGTCTTCTTCTTGGTCTCCCTCACATATGTCAGGATTAGAGTCGCTTCTGCCATCTAAAATAATGGTAAAAATCGATAGTGCGATATAAGGACTCAATTGGCTTTCCTAACTCTCTCAAATTGCTTTGTAATTGAAAAGAGAAACCTGATATCATTCAAAATTTTAAAGCAAAATACTGATTAGATAAACATTCACTCTTATCACCAACAACTATTTCATATCTTATCAGAAATTTTCTAAGTAAAATCTTCTACGCAAAAGCTAAGCTTATCTACACATGAACGAACAGATGACTAATAAGGGAAGATATAGGCTCTCTCCACTAGAGTGATCCCAAGTATCGGAAAGATACTCTAGATTTCAGATATATTTAGAGATTGCTAACTTAGAGATTTCAGTAAGCAGAAGATCTTACCTTGGATGACATATTGACCTTCAGTTTTAGGAGTGACTTGGATCTTAGTCTCTTCAGTAAAATTCATATTGCTCTTTGTCTCCTTGCTAAGAGTAATAAGTCAAGCTTACTTCTTGGAAGGTGTAGCAGGTGATGAGTCTTTGCAAGAGTCGGTACTGAGGTCTAGATAGGTTAGAGTTCACTAAGTACTTGGAGGATTAGGTTGGACATTAACAGACTTTGAGAGAAATTCGATATGCTTTCTACAGGTGAGGGAAAATATCTTACTTTTGCTGCTTCGTTAGCTCATTATGACCTTTTTGTTTCTTTGCTGTTTTATTACCTTTTCTACCCATTCTTTAGAGTGAAATTTAATAATTATAAAAATCTTCAATATTTATTCCTTAAAAAGGGGTTTTGGGGTTTTGGGGTTTTGGGG